AGCAGTGATCATCCTGGCTTTGCAGAATGGCAGGGGTATATGAATAACAAAAGTGGAGACGTGTTCTCTGGAGTGACGAATCACGCTTCTGTTTGGCAATCTGATGGACGTGTCTGAGTTTGGCAGTTGCCAGGAGAACGGTACTTGCCGGACTGCATTGTGGCAAGTGTAAAGTTTGGTGGAGGGGGGATTATGGTGGGGGGTGGTTTTCCAGGGGTTGGGCTTGACCCCCTTAGTTCCAGTGAAGGGAACTCTTAAAGCATCAGCATACCAAGACAATTTTATGCTCCCAACTTTGCGGGAACAGTTTGGGGATGGTCCCTTCCTGTTCCAACATGACTGCACACCAGTGCACAAAGCAAGGTCCATAAAGACATGGATGAGCGAGTTTGGGGTGAAGGAACTTGACTGGCCTGCACAGAGTCCTGACCTCAACCCGATAGAACACCTTTGGGATGAGTTAGTGTGGAGACTGTGAGCTCGGCCTTCTCGTCCTACATCAGTACCTGACCTCACAAATGCTCTTCTGGAAGATTGGTCAAACATTCTAAACAAGATTTAAAAATGCATTAACACACTTTGATGGATTTAAATCATGATGATGCTTTTTTTCAAGTTTAGCTAAAAAACAAAAGACATTAAAAAGTTTATACATTTCCTTTTAAAGCAGGGTTCTTGGTTTGGATATATTGCAATGCACCTTCAAGCTAGTCAGCAACATCAGAATCACCCACCTTCCTGTTTAGATGCCAGCACAGAATTTTCATCTCTATTTATAGGGCAGGTCACTTACCCAACCTGGTAATACTGATACTGCGATTATGAATACATTTAAAATGCATCTACAGGCATTTTTTTAGTTTTAGATAGCACAGGGAGGACTTAAAAGTCTGTCAGGTTTCTGTGTGTGCCTTTTAAAATGAGTTTCGCATTCTGGATTCGTTCCAGAAATTTATGGGAAAACCAATCTTGCACGTTGTCACTGGAACAGACACTGGGGAGTAATCTCCTAATGGGGACACTTACGGTACTCCAGTGACTATTATTTTCTAAGAGGTCTGTAGTCCACAACGATAGCTGAGAATAATGAAACTGATAAGCATGCAGCAGAGGCAGAGAGCACAGGAAGTTATCAGCTCTCTGGATTTCTGGGTGGACGGGTATTTTGTTTTTCACTTTTTCAACAGAAATTATTTATTTTCCAATGCATGTCTAACAGACAAACAGGTGGCAAATATGAGAAGTTAATTGTGAGGGTTTATATTCACTTTAAGCAACTCTAGGTGCCATCTTTATACAGATATGACACCAAGAGTGCATTTTACACTTCTAGGTAATATGGAATCAATCAGTGAACAACTAATTCTATTAAAGGAGAACTATGAGGTCAGGGCTTTTCCCCATAGTTCTCCTAAGGGTAACGGGAGGACACAAACTAGCGTCCTCCCGTCACCCAAAGCTCAGTATACCGCGAGCTACAGCTCGCAGTCTACTGAGACGCCGTAGCCGGGACGGATCCCGACATTACTGGCGAGATCCACCCAGACAGTAATGTCCGGATTGACAGCTGGCTCTGCCTATCTAGAGGCAGAGCCAGCTGTACCCGCCCCCTCCCCCATCCGTTCCGCCAGTCAGCGCTGGAGGATCGGACAGGGGAGGGGGGGGGGGAATCCCTGCAGGGAGCCGTGAGTGGCAGTCAGGGCTCTCTGCAGGGATAGATCGTGAAGTGAGCGAGCGACGATATGTGTTCGCTCACTTCCCGATCTATTGAGCCGACCTGTGACAGTTTCATTTTCACAGGTTGGCTAGAACTATGAGGCTGAGTGATTTTTCCTCGCCTCATAGTTCTCCTTTAAGTAATGCTCACTCTAAAACCTTAACCAGAATTCCCTTGAATAAACTGTAACCAGAATCCAGAAAGCAGCTTACAAGATCACTTAGAATATATTTCCTGAAGTCTGCTTTCTGTACCACCAATCATATTCTAAGGCAGATACTAATCTGCCAAGGAGAGGTAGCAAAGGTCCTGCAATGGGGGAGTTTGGGAACCTCTCTCCAGTATCGAAAAACACAGGTCCTCATTTCATCAAAGGGAGCAGGGTGCTCGGGTATATTAGAGCAATGGTCGCATGATAAAATGAAGTGATGAGCAGGTAGGACCTGTTCCCTGTATGCCAATAAAGTTTCCATTATCAATTTCGACTGGTGTGTGCCTTTAAAGTGACACTAAACTCAGGAGTTAAATCTTAAAAATACATTTATGTACCTTAACTATTAACAAAAATGTATCTTATTTGCGTATCACTCGGCTGTAGATCCTTAAATCATCTCTGAATTCATGCAGATACTGTCCTTCCTTCTGGAGGGTGACTACTTTTGTTCCCCATGGTCCCTGTGTGTGTTGTAAAGTAGCCACCACTTCAAGCTCACTCCTGTGGTGGACTACAGTCGCAATACAAACTAAACGTGAGATTGTAGTCCATTACAGGAGCGAGCTTGGAGCGGTGGCTACTTTACAACTCACACAGGGAAAATGGGGAACAAAAGTAGCCCCCCTCCAGAAGGAAGGACAGTGTCGGCACAAATGAAGGATCTATAGCCGAGTGATTCACAAATAATATACATTTTTGTTAATAGTTAAGGTACTTTAATGCATTTTGAAGTTTTAACTCCCGAGTTTACTGTCACTTTAAGAGTGAACAACATTTTATGAATCTGTTTACAGGACCCTTAATAAGTGACAGTATCACACGGAAAAACTCCATATCAATGTGACCATGTGATTTCATCCAGAAACAATCAAGTGTTATATGTCCATCTGAACAGTCTCTTTTCTGAATCAAAAGGCTTATGTAACTTCAGGACATGTCACGCGCTCTGCCCGCAGGCTGAACCGGCTGCTGTTCACCAGCATACAAGGACAGCCGCCTATCATAGGCCTTGTTCTGCTGCCAGTAGCTGCCATCACAATTATTTTGATAACCTTTTCCTAAATGCTTTCTAGAGATAGCAGTAAAACCGCATCAGGGCTCATTCAAATGAGAGCGCCTTTCCTAAGAATGCTGAAGGATGTCTGAAGAAGCAAAAACATGTTTTTTTTTACATTTTCAATGAGTTTTAATTGCTCCAAAGTGTATTTGTGTGTTTACAGCATCTAAATAAACCAAAATGTAAGTAAAGCCTATAAAACATATTCAAGTGCACTTATAACACTGCCCCCTCCCCAGCAGCAAATACTCACCTTTCCCCCCTGTCTCTGTGTTCAGCTGCAGGCAATGAAGAAAATACCCAGGAGATTTGGGTATGGAGCAGTATGGGACTCACTCCATGTGACAACAGGGGGCCAATCAAGTACCAGTGCTGTCACATGTGGAAAGTATGTAGCCCTGTGTAAGCTGTAATGACTTGGAGATTACATAAAGGAGCTCCCTTTCTCCTGGCACTAAGCACAGTGGCCAAAGAATAAAGCAAAGGAGAGTATGTACTGCCGGGTAGGGGGATTCAAATAAACTTGTCCATTTTCCCTGTATGGGCAAACCACAGGTTCACTTGGAAAAGATCTCATCACCAGGCCAATCAGTTCAACTAAAATCTTCCCATAATGTTATATGTGAATTTAACGTCTAATAGGCAAGTTATTTACCTGTAAAAGCCTCCCTTGTGTAGACTTCCAAAAACCCTGAGACTGTTGCAGGGCACCACCATCTTAGATAGCAGCCCCAGCAGACTAAGAAGTGTCTCTCTATAGCAGCTTTTCTCCACCAGGGTGCCAGGGCATACTGGTGTGCCTCCTCTGGACTTCTAACTAGTATTTTAACTAACAGCATGTCCTCTCCCTTCTTACCCCTTTACTTGGGTATGAGGCAACGGTGCCCCCTGTACACACCTCTAAATACCTTGGGATTACAATTAATAAAGACCCCTCCATGGTTCTGATGCTAAATATCACCCCCTTGATGCATAACATCAAAAACAAATTACCAATATGGTCTAAACTGCCCCTGTCTGTGGCAGGCAGAATTAACCTATTGAAGATGAGCCTTCTTTCTAAGTGCCTCTACATGCCTGCTCACATACTAGTAATAATTTCGAAATATATTTTTTCAGAACTCAGCTCTATGTCTTCTCTCTTTATGTGGGGCACCACTAGACTGAAACTGAAATTGACTACTTTACAGAGGCCCAAGGAGGAAGTGGGAATGGCCTTGACGGTCTTGGAGGAAATTGTTCAAATCCTTTTGGAATGATTCCACACTCTTAGCGGATACCAATGCTTGTGGCAGCGAGTTCCAGACCCTAACTGCACTAATTGAGAAGATGCCCCTACGCCCCTTGTGCTTAAATCTTTTATCCACCAATTTTAGATGGTGGCCTCTAGTCTTTGTTATGGAGTTTACCGTAAAAAGTTTATTGCTGACGTTGCCATCACCAATGAACATCTTGTAAATCATGCCCCCCTTAATCTCCTCACTTCCAGCGTGAACATGTTTACATTTAGTGACCTTGTCTCATAGCTTTGGTCCCCCATCCACTTAATTAGTTTAGTTGCCCTTCTCTGGAATCTTCCAGCTAAAGGACATTTTTTCTGTGGATTGGTGACCAAAACTGGACGGCATACTTCAGATGAGGTCGAACCAGCGGTCTATAAAGTAGCTAAATTATTTAATTGTCTCTATAGTACATTCCCTTTTTAATACAAGACAGTGCTCTGCTCGCTATGTTTGCAGCAGCCCGACATTGCAAGCTATTATTTAATCTGTGGTCTACAATGACCCCCAGATCCTTTTCCATTTCTGACTTCCCTAGTGGAGTTCCCATTAATGTGTATTCCGCTGGCCTATGTTTAACCTCCACAGTTTAGCAATTAGTTATGCCAGAAAGTGACAGAAAGTGATGGAAAATCCAAAAATTGACAGCTGTCAACAGGGGGAAATGATACTGAATTAATCAGCTTTGGGTGGACTGACCCTATAGGCATGTCTTTTAACCGTATCACTTACTTTTTCAACGTCTGCTTTTGTCACGTTGATATCAGCATCCATCCTTTCGAAATGTTGCTGCGCCCGGTCCGCCTCCTTGCAATCCCTCTCAAATCTTCTTTTACTCTTTACATAAAAAGAACAAAAAAAAATGTTTCAATCGGATATAACTAATGTAGAAAACATGCAGACACTATATTCACTGATGAATCCACTGAACTACCCGTACCAGAACAATAGTTAAAGGAATTTGGTAGAACAGACCTAAAGGAGTTGTCAATGCTCTGTAGCTCTCATTCTCATCTATCCTTCACTACTTGGTGGACCACTAACCTGGAATTTGGAACACCTGATACCTGCTGATACCTAGTGACTCACTAGTAAAAAAAAAAAAAAGGATAAAAGATGAGAGCACTATGGCATTCATCTGCAAAATCAATCAACAGTGGCAGCTCTCATAATCATATCTTAGTAGATTTCCTTTAAAGAAGAATGTCTCTGTTGTCCACATCGGCCAAACAACATTATGGCCACATTTATCTTTTATCATTTGAGTAGATGACATTTAAATGGTATTGAAGAGGGCTACGCATACTGCAAACATATGTAGCAAAAAAAAAAAGGCAAAAAGGTTTACCAAGACTGGAAATGGGCAGATAGTTCTCTGGGGTTGGGGGACATCTACTAATCGTAGCATGAGTCATTTGAGTGTCAGGACCAGCTATGATTATTGACCACTGACAGCAGCACTTTGGTGGTAGTGAAGGATCAGAAGCTGGTCATGAGAACATTTTCTAAAAAAATCTGTAAAATCTGTGAGTACTGCCTGAGACAATTGTTTGCGTTGTTAAAGAGGACCTGCAATGGACCTTGCCTCTTGGGAATTGCTTAATTTTTTATTTAATTGTTCTATTTATTAATATTATTCTATTATTAGGGATGCACCGAAATGGAATTTTGAGAATGAAACCGAAAATAAAAAAATTTTCAGGCCTAAACCAAAAAAATACGTTTTTTTTCGAACCGGTTTAAAAAAATGTTAATAACTTTTTAATTATTCTGTTGTTATTTTTATTTATTTTTTGTTACTTTACGGTCAGGGACTCTAGGGAAATACCAGGGAGTCTAATCAGACCCCTAATATTTTAAAATAGAAAAAGAGACTGAGGATACAAAGTCCTTAATCTCTTTTTCTGCAGCCCCCGTTATGAATGAACACGAAAGCCTCTATACTGAGTGTTCCTGTTCATTTATACATTGTAGATATAGTGTACTTACTATGTCCACAATCATGAATGAACAGGAAGTGATGTTAGATCACTTCCCATTCACTCATGGCTGGGACATAGTAAGCACAATATGTCCAGTTATTTACAAACACTCAATGATCAGCTGATCGGTGAGTGTTTGTGCACCGCTCTCCATCTTGAATGGGCTGTCACAGGAGGCGGAACAGGCAAGGAGATCTCCGCCTCCTGTGACAGATCACAACACTCTCCTCCATTCACCGCTCTCCATCTTGACACATGAGGTAGAGCCAGGAGGTGCGGGAGGAGCCTCCTATAACGATGACAGCTGTTACTGCACTGCTCTCCATCGTGACACAGGAAGCAGAGCCGGGAGGTGCGGGAGGAGAGCTCCGTCACTCAATGACAGCTGTCCCTGCCCCACACCGCCCAGCATCCTGAACTTGTCACCTGAAATTTTGGTGCATCCCTTATTATAGGGTATTCCCTTCCTAGCAGAGCAGAGATGTCAAGTTGAGTAGTAGCTTGTAAGGTCATTCTAATAAAAGATGCTAAAAAAGACCTTAAGATAACAAAAGATGCTGTGTGGAAACAAATGAAAGGCTTTGCTTACTGAAACTTTTACCCTCCTATAGTAGCCCTGACAGTGTGTCAGTTAGCAGCCGTAACTCAGGCAGGAGACAGGTCAGCCTCCATCTGGGCCATACAGCATGACATTGGGATGACAATTCTGCTCAGGCAGAGAGAGAATGCAAGTGAGTAACAACAAAACACACCTATCACTGAGAACTAAGGCAGCACTATAATAACAACTATAGACAGATGATTTAGATTCTTACATATGCTCACTGCTGACAGGTTCTCTTTAAGTGAGGAGAAGCAGCCTGACAATAGTAAGCATCAATCAAATCTGATTTTTTTTTTTTTTATCAAAGACAGGCTTACTAGGAGTTGTACAGTACTGCATCTATTTTTCTACAGAATTAAAGTAAAAGATAAAGTGCAATAATTTGGAGAATCATGAAGCGTGTAAGTCCTAAACTACTGCCAGTGTAGTTAACTGAAAAGCAGCTTGTCAATTACCCTGTAGTCATAACTATGGTCTGTATCTCAATCGATTGGGTAAAATCCTCTTGATTTGTTGTCCAATGTAGAGGGCGGCTAAGGATTTCCAATTTTGGAATTGCTGCTAAATTAGCCGTGTATTTTAAAAAAATGGCTTCAAGGGTGCTGGGGTACTTATAGTCACTCCGCCGTTGATGCTCAGAAACCCCTTGGTTTTATAGTTAGGGGTGCACCTAGGGGTACTCGCTGATACCAATTATCGTGTAACGGAAGTCCTATTCAGGAAGCCAGGTGGCGTGTAATGACTCGCCACCTGGCTTCCTGATTAGCCGGGAAGCGGGGCAGCGTGTAAAGACTCGCCACTCGGCTTCCCGATTAACAAGAAAGTCTGTCCCCTCTTACCTTGGCATATCCAGCCTGTCACCCCTGGGCCCTCTCCAGCTAGAATGTGGCCTTCCTCCGGTGGCCAGCCGGAGCCGTCTGGCCGGCCAACCATGGAAGCTGGCCGCCGTGTAATGACTCCCCGCTTTTAGATTGGCCGTTGCCAATCAGGAAACTGGGCAGCGTGTAATGACGCGCTGCCCAGCGTCCTGAAACAGGAAGTATCGGTCTAGGTATCGGAGCATTTGGGCGAGTACGAGTACTCGCCCAAATACTCGGTATCAGCACCTATATCGATACTAGTATCAGTGCATCCCTAGTTGTAGTGCATGAAATGCGGCACTGCTTCAGCTGCAGAAGGAAAAAGCTCAAGAAACTGATAATCTAGGAATGCAAATATTTTATACGGAGCTCCATTAGTGTGATTTTAGAATATTAGAATAATTAGAATATCGTGCAAAGTTCATTTATTTCACTAATGCAACTTAAAAGGTGAAACTAATATATGAGATAGACTCATTACATGCAAA